CAATTTCGACTTTTGAAAATTCTCTTGAGACACTTTCTAGATCATATTTATATTTTTTTTAAACTCCTCTCATCACATTTAATAAATCCAAAATTTGAAACAAAAAAGCTTATACATGTGAAGGTTAATCTGCTATTGCTTTCGAGCCAATCAAATGCTAAATTAGAAGTTAAAAGAGCCACACCTTTGACATTTGAGCTGATTTTTGCCAAAAGTGACTAAAAATTTAATGACGAATAACAAACATTTTTGGATATGTTTGCTGTAGTTGTAGGGTTCGTTCATGCACATTTTCTGAGCTAATTTATTAATTTCAGGACCTAATTATTTTTTATTTTTACAATCAAAATAAATACTCATAATTGTCTTTTTATCTAAGTACAAATTTTGATTAATTTGAATTAAATGAAAAGAATTTACCAACTTGACACCATGTTTGGTTCAGTAGATAGATGACGACCACTTCTCTTGCAAGTTGGAGTTCGAGATGTAATTAGGCAGATTGTAGAGTAGCAAATTAGTTAAATTACTGAAATCAGTGTCAAATATTATCATAATTATAATTCTGTTAATAATTGTGGATAAAATTGTGGTATTAGTTTACAAAATTTACAAATTTAAAAAATTTATGTTAATATTTTACTAAAAGTCATTTCAAATCATGTAGAACAATCCATTTGTTGAACTAGCTTCAGTCTTCTTCAATTATTTTAAGAAAATCAAATCACTATTTTTATATTACTAGACTGTACAATGTATGCAGTTGCTATTTGAACTAGAAATATTTTTGTTAAGCTGATGGATGAAAATTAAACTCTATATTTATACTCTTTATCTGAATGAAATAAAATATATTCAATTAATTTAAATAGTATAACAATACATTTGATTGTATAAATATAGTACAAATAAATAAACACAATTATTCTTATAATATTGTTATAAATTATTAACAAAAAAAAAAACAAAAAAAATACTAACATACATAGTAAATTTAAAAAATGATTTTTAAAGTGGCTGACTTAACCTTATATTAATCATTACTGTAACATAATATAATAATTTATATTGTATATTGTTTAGTATTAGTATTTACTATTCATATAATTTTATTAAAAAAAAATATAAATGAAAAAAAATAATCTTGATTATTTTTTTTTACTTTTTTACAGATTTACTACTAATTAAAATTTTTATAACTTGTTTTTAAATCGTTAGTTTAATTAAGATTTATGCCTAAAATCGTTTTTTCATGATTTGATTTTTAACTTTAATAAATAAATATAAGATTAATAAATAATTTTTTTTCAATTAAAATGAAATAAAATTTATTTATTTAATAAATTAATAATAACCATGAAAAATTGAAAAATAAATAATTTGACAGCGCTAACCACTGCAGAATTTAAAATACAAATTAAAATTCATTCGAATATGTTAAATTTAAAACAATTAACATTAACCTAATTTAATTTTCTAAACAAAAAAATGCGACGATTAAATTAAAAAATTAGACATTTGTTTGCTTTAATTTAGAGTATTTGGTTCACTTTTAACACAGGTAACCTCAAACTAATTGGTGAACGTTACGTTAGTGAGCTATTATAATTTAGTTATCCACCTTTAGAAATTAATCATAAAAATCTGAAAATATATCGGTTTTTAAGAATAAAAATAACAAAATATTAATTAAGTAACGTATTATATATACAAGCAAATATGTCTTCCTTATAATTAATTCAATTAAATAATAATTTTATAGTATTTCCGCTAACTATATCATGCCAGTATATGTTCACAAGTTTTAAATAAAATTAATTTTTTACTTTTTATATATATTTTTTTTTATAAAACTTAAATATATATCTTAAAATGTACAAATATACCAAAAAATGTACAAATATTACAATGGTATTTCCGTTTTACCACATTTTACAAGTCAAACTTAAGTTTCATTTTAGTCAATGCAGGTTACCTTAAACACCTGTTGTTTACGTTTAAAAGTTAATTTAATTAAGAATTGTTGATTAATTCGAATTTTCAAACTGATCAAAATGTCATTTTAGATAATTTAATGAAGAATATTTCATTAATAATTAATAATATGAATAATATATGTATATATAAATAATATTAAATAATGTTTGTAGTCACTTAAGAATTTTCTAAAAAAAATAATGTTACAAATTATAGTGTTGTAATTGGTAAGGTGGGATAAGAATTCTGGTATCATAAAATGTTAAAGTTAAACTTAAATAAGGAATATATTAAGAAAAAACTAACTGCAGATTAAAGAATGATATCATATAAAATTTCACTAAACTAAAATAAATAATAGAATTATGAATAAATGCATCAACAATATCAAATTTAAATACATTACCGTTATAATCTTAACTTTACAACTGGTTTGTAATTTTTTTTGACAGAATAATTAAATTACCATTATAATTACACATAATACATTTAGTTACATACTCATATATATGTATATACAATATACATAGGATCACACAGATATACATACATCCATATACACGCATCCACCCATGTGTGCGACATGGTGTTTATTTTTAACTGGAAACATGTGTGTTGTGTGTGTTTGTGTGAGTATGTATATGTGTATGGTGTTTGTGTGAATATGTATGTGTGTGTGTGTGTGTGTGTGTATGTGTGTGCGTGTGTGTGTGGTATTTTTAATTTTATTATTAATTTTTTGAGTTACAATTCATCCAGCTGTTGGTGATAGAGAGGCAGGTTTTTGACTTCTTGGGCTTCTTGTGGTCTTGCATCATTGCCAATTTCATTCAAGTTGGTTGGAGGAAGTTTTGCTCAATAATAATAATAATAATAATAATAATAATAAAAGTTATTAATAATAAATATATTAATGATGATGATAATTATGACTATGCTGATGATGATAATGATGATAATGATGGTGATAACGATAATGATAACGA